CCAGATGCTTTGGTGAATCACTCCACGAATAATTCCTTTTGGTTTGCTCATCTCCGTTTTGTCCGTTGGAGTCGGTTCTGACAAATTTACGTCTTGCATATTGCCTGTCCTAAAGTCGGGTGTAAAATGTTATCCGCACTTAGTTTTGACGGCTCAGTATCATTTTGACCCGACCTAGAGCTGTCATTTTGACGTGGTGGTCAAGCTTGAGTGCTGCAATGATCTCGCGGGCTTTAGTGACTGGAAATTCGTTCCATAAGGTGCAACCATGACAGGAAGGCCAGAAGGGAACAGTCATACCAAGAGCAGCGAGGGCCTGTACCACAAGTAATCATGCTACGGGAAGGTATGGGGGTAAAGTCGTACTGTCCTCTGTGATAGGAGTGTAAAGGTAGTAGGATGTTTATCCCAGGCGACCAGCATGTCCATATTCATGGAGGCAGCGCTGCTGCCTTCTCTGAGGAAGGACGAGTTAGAAAAGGTCAGCCCTAAAAGCCGCACACCCTGATCGCTAAACGGTTGATGATGACCGCCGGTCACATTATTCCAAACGGTCAAAATGCTTTTTGAACCAAAGAGTTTTCGGCTGCTAAAAGTGCACCTGTTGTGTGCAGCAGCATCATAGGTGACACAAGGTGAGGGCATCCTGTGCCCTCAGGTTAGGCCAACCGCAGACAGCCGAGCAGATCAGACTATTGAGTCATTTGCTCCGGACGGTGTCCCCGAACAAAACCCCACATCCTCCCGACTTTGGAGTTCAAGGCACAAACCCCCTTCCTTGGCATGGACAAACAGACGATGCTAACTGAACCCTTGTACTCCCCTGAAATCGATATATGTAGTGTTTCCAAAACACGCATACAAGACCCAAGTGTGGTCATGCAGCTCAGAACGCTAAGGACGAACTCAGGCCTCTCACATTTCTCCCTCTGTGTGTCCGGTATTCCAGAAGCGATGGCTCGTATAATGTATGTCACGGGAGATGCACCCAGCCTCAAAGCTGAACGCGCTTTGCTGGATTGGATCTCAGTAGACAGTCGTCTTCATGCCGTCCCGTTACCTAGCTCAATCAAACTCAATGCCCCTAATCATAAAAAGCGGTGAATGTTTGCAGTGTCGGCTTATGCCCTAACGGACTGAAGTTCTGACGCTGGTAAGGAGCTATCCGGGAGTTATCCGGGCTCAACCCTCACTCGAGAAGCACTGACACTGTGATCCTTGCAGGCGATATGGATGCCCAAGCCGGTCCTTTGAGCTCCTTGGAATCACATTTAGGCGGTCGATTAGGAGTGAATGCTCGTCACACAGACAACGGAGAGTGACCTATCCAGTTGTGTGCTGATCATGAAATTTTTCTGAATGGTAAGAAGTTTCAGTATAAACGTTCACATTGCATAACCTGGTGGTCACCAACTGCAACCGAGAACCCAGTTGGATCACTTGGCCATCAGCCACCGGTGGAGAGCTACTATTCGAAACTGCCGTTTCTTCTGGGGCGCACTCCCTGATTCGGATCAAGCCAAGGTGCGCGCACGCCTGACAGTTCGTTTTCCCCAAGACTCTCAAAAGTCAGCAAGACGCATGCCAAGCGCCCATCTTCAAACACTACCATAGATCAACATTATCGATCTGAGCTAGCCCAAAAACTCTCCAAAGTAAACCAATATTGTACCGGCAGTGAGCATGTGCCGTGCACGAAGCATGACAAAATGTGAAAGAGGCCATTTTGGCAGCGTTGTGCGCCGTCCGACTTGTCTGATTTGAACACAAGACTACTGGATGTCATCGAGATTGCTATCCATGACTGAAATCAGAAAATCCATACTAGCAGACAATGCGCACAATAGCGCGCGCAAGTCCCTCAAACGTCAGACAGTAAAGAATCTAAGGAAAGACGGGGCGCTTTGGTGTACCTCAAAAGCTTGAGAGATGGAGAAAGCCTTTGCAACCAAGAACAGTCGTGTCCTATACCAAATGATATGATGGACTACCCCTAGGACAGCAGAGGTCAGCAAAAACAAAAAAGAACAAGGCAGCTCATTAATTCACTCGCAAAAACGTCGAGTGAAAATATGGACAGGACACTTCGAAGAACACCTTAGCTGGTCTCTTGCAAAACAGCCTGTGGGGAAAGTGCATCCGGGCTAATGAAATATAAGCCTTAATAACCCATCGGAAGAAGAAATAAAGTATGAAAGATGAAAGGTACTGAAACGTAAAAAAGCACCAGGAGTGGACGAACTATATCCAGTCCGCTTCAAAGAAGATGAAAAATCCCAGATGACACATCTGACAAAGCGTATAGGTTCTATATTGAACAAAGTGTCTGCAGAATGGAGCATGAAGACGGTTGATTCTAGCTTTAAAAGGCACACGCAAACGCCGTGTGAAAATTATCGTAACATCAGTCGAAAGTTCACTGTGGTCTTAATCGCCGAAGGTTGACTGAACCCATTAGGACGCAACTCCCTGAAAGAGTATACATCAACATCTTCACTCTCCGACAGATTTTGGGAGAGCGATACTGCTTTTGGCAACCAACAATGGTTCTATTCATTGGTCTGAAATCTGTCCTTGACTCTGTGTACCGTCAGGCATGTTGGTAGTGTCTAGAGACCAAAGGTGTTTCCCATAAATTCTTGACTCTCCTTAAGACGCTGTACGCAAACTCCCGCGGCTGTCCGAAGGTCTACGTAAAGCTCTCGCCTGAGTTCGCCATATCAAATATTGTCAAACAAGGCTGTCCTCTTTCAACTTTGATCTTAAACTCTGTCGCTAATGCGGCTAGGGAAGGCTCACCATTAGCCTCAAATGCCTGTGAGGCCAAAGTTCTCCCAGGGCGTCCGCTTCCAGATATCAGAGATGCAGACGACATAGCCCTTATTAGGTCTGATTCCGTGGTAATGCAAACACTATTAAATAATCTAAATAATTCTGCATCATAGTATGGCGTGCGTTTCAAGACTACGACAAGGCTGAGTAGGCTTAAAACTTTAGCCTCATGCTTGCAGATGAGCCGCTTGAGGTAGTAGACAGGTTTGCACACCTAGGCAGCTGTATCAGTCCAGATGGTCTGGTGAAAGATGATATTTCTATCCGGAGTGGGAAGGTCAGAGCAGCTTTTGTGAACCTGCATCATCTGTGGCTTAGGTGTGACATCAGCTTATCCGTCAAGGGTCGAGTTTACAATGCTGAAGTGCAGTCCATATGGTCATAAACCTGGTCACCGCGCACCAAGGACGTCAAAGAGTTTTAATGTTTTACCATAGACGTCTTCTGAGCATTGCTCAAGTCTGGCAGGAATACCGAATCAGCAATGCTGAAGTACGTTGAATGGTATTTGGAAAAAATAACTTCCCCGTAGTAGATGAACTGATCACACTCCACAGGTTGCGATGGCTTAGCCACGCGCCCGGTATGCTAGTCGACCAAATCCCTCGAGGAGTTCTTTTTGCACAACCGCACGAAGAGCAAAAACAAATCACAGGAGGCCAAATAATTACTTGGCAGCAAAGTGTAGAAGCCATTACCAGCAACCTCAGCTGCGCTGGTCTTTGCCACCTCCCTGGATGGGGACCACAAAACGGGCCAAATCAATGGTTAGAGACATTGTCGGACATGACCCAGTTGTGCCCTGGATGGCGCTCGTGAATTCAAGCTATTGTCACAAAAGCATAGCTCACTTCACACACACCCCCACTTGAAAATCTATTGAAAGACCTGTATTTAGGTATTAATTTATCAGCCCCCACCTCCAATGCGCAACTACAACCTTCAACTTCCCAAATCATTGATGGATGAACTTGTGGTAGCTACAACCACTGTAAGAAAAGTATGCAGTTCTCACAGCTGATAATGGTGATGATGTATCGCTCAGGCCATCAGATCACCCAGTAATCCATATAGAATTGGCCGTTTTCTGTGAAAGCATGAGTTTATCTGTATGCTTCACAGATTAGCACGGATTTTGAACCACGTTGTGACTGTGGTACTGATGTTCACATCATTGTAATTCATAGAGATTGTTTTGAAAAAGTCGGCACGCTACAGGTTCCATATGATGTAGTTGTGCAAAGTTCGTATTTTTGTATTTTGTTTGGAATGTGCTCACTGTTGCCTGTTACCGTAAACCACAACTTCCAAGTGTTACCTGGTACTATGGATGAGTTTAGGCGGCGGTACCGCAATGAGGAAGCAGTTGCAAACACTTCTGATCGACAACCAGGTCGAAATGTTATCGGTAGAGCAACCCGTAGAGTTCAAATTACCTGCGACGTCGCCATCTGGTTTCACAGCTGATCACAAAATGACCTGTTTTCAGTATTGATTTACGCTTAAGCAAACGAATAAAGCTTCACAGAATACCGTTGTTGGTGGATTCACAATATGACTTCAGCCAAATCGCCGGATACTTTTTACCAGTTTAGCGGACACAACTGCTCAAATGTCCTCGATGTACACTATTACAGCTTCACATAACAATTCAATCCGATACGAACGCCCAGTAATTACAAAAATCATTTTAATGCGCCCGTTGTATGGATGCTACCATCCTATTAGTACTTGCGAAACGAGGCCGCCTAAAGGGCTATTCAGAATTGGAAGCATCAAGCGGGTACCTGTGCTTTCAGATGCACCGGGTGTTGGAGGGCCCTAGCCACTTGAAGTCTTAAAAT